GCAGTTAATCTCTTGAAACAATATTTAATGGGTGGCTCATAGAGTAACTAAGAAAATGGGCAAGAACAAAAAGTTATGCAGATACTAGCCAGCCGAAAGCAGAGCCGGAGAGCTGTCTGCTGGGGCACGGCTCTCACTGCCACTGAGCACAGAAAGCGCAGCCTGCTCTGTGGTCATCCCTGCCATTCAATACGGGCCCGACGCCTGGCAACACAGACACTGTTGTGCCTGCCAACTGGCTGCCACCGCCACTGACACCAGAAAAGAAATCTCCGCTGTCCTTGTTTCTTTGTGTCATTAGTTTCAAATTCAAAATCCCAGATGAGTGCATCTGATTGGCAGAGTCTAAAACAAGGGCCTACATCCCAGCTGGCAGAGGAGCTAGAATATTAGGTGTCTGTTCATTTTAACTTCTCTTGAGAGAGGCAAGGCATCCCTCAAATACCAAGTGGGTTCAAACGCTGACTATCAATAATTACGAGTGTCTGTTACACACATAATGCTCTGGGCAAAGACCACAGGTTGTAACCGATGTATACAGGGCTGTTTGGCTTTTAGTAATACTATATTTAATACACAGAGCACAGTGCCTGTCTCACAGCGGGTTCTAAATAAATAGCTATTGCTCTTCATAATTACTATCATAATCATGGTCATTATCACTACAAAATGTCAGCCTACAGGGATCAATGAATATAGATGAAATGAGATAACAGAAGTCCCAGGTAGACACCCAACGACAAGCCTAGATGGCCCCTCCTGACGCCATGATACTATATGAGACTTTCCAAAAATGAGGTGCAACCCCAGGGATAAGGGGGAAACTCTAAACTGAGTAAAATTAAGAATCTTCACCTTGATGGATCAGAGACCCATAACAGAAAATAAGTTGTTATAGAAAATCCAAAAGAGGCATATTTCTTGCATACTTAATTATAGGCTGATATTTATACACACTACAACTTTTTTCAGGTGTGCTGTACCAGTCAAGCAAGGTGCCTGTGTAACGCTTCAGAGGACCTGCCCCACCCACTGTCCTTTCTGTAAGAGCCTATGAGTTCTTTACACATTGGCTACCACAGATACCAGATTGCCTCACCACAGTGAAAACTGATCAGCCATTTATAGCCTGTTCTGCAGTTTATGAGGTGATCTGGCCCCAAGTTTATGCCTTAGGAGTCCTTGTTTTCTCTGAGGAAGTGAAAGTCACACAGAGGTACAGAAGCAGCTAGTCTTAAATGGCAGGAGAGAAAGTAGCTGAATTAACTTAACGGTGGTGGAGTAAACTGTTTAATAGCTATATCTTCCTCCCATTCTAGTATGCATGCCCCTTTGCAGTGTGACTTTTCTGCTTCGCCCATGCATAAGTGAAGTCTATTTCTCCAAACCCTTGAATCTAAACCAGCCTTTTAACTTGCTTTGACCAACAGCATGTGGTGGAAGTGATGTTAGTTGAGTTCTGAAGCCTAAGCCTACAGGGGCCTTGCAATATCTGCATTACCCTCTCGAAATGTTGCCATGAGAACATTAAATTATGAAGAAGCTTGGGGTTAAAGACAACATGGAAAGAGGCCAGCCCGTCCCAGCTGAATCCATTTCATCCAACCTACATGAGTGAGTCCAGGCGAGATAAGCAGAACTGCCCAGCACACACACAAGAGCATAAGAAAATGCACATTGTCATTGTTTAAAACTAAGTTTGGGATTGTTTATTACTGTGTGGCCACCATATAAGATGGTCTAGCCAAAGGAGAATAAGGGGCCATACAGAGGAGAATCAACGACCCCAGCTGATGGCCAGTGCCAACCACAAGACACCTGAGTGGGGTCCTCCTGGACCCTCCAACCTTCAGCAGAACACAGCAGCATGACTAGGCTCAGGCACAAGCAGCAGAGGCTGCCCAGTCAGTCCATGGAATCTTGGGAAATAAATTCTTGACTCCTCTTTCTCTTACTCCCATGTTTTACCCAGTGGCAAATCCTGCCAGCTTTACCCCAAATACATGCTGAATCTGATCACTTCTCATCAGCTCCATCACTCATACTGGTCCAAGCTACTACCATCTCTTGCATGGATTATAAAATGACCTTTTAACAAGTCCTTTTGGAATGACTAAAATATTGCATATTTTGATTGTTGTGTTAGATACATGACTATGTACATTTGTCAAAATGTTTTGAGCTGTACAATTTCAAAAGGTGGATTTTACTCAAAATTATAAATCAATAATCTTTACTGTTTAAAGAGTAACCACCAAAGGTTTCAGGTCATTTTCAAACAAAATACAATGAATCCATGTTAAATGAACTGCATTTTTTCTAGGATGAGTGCAAAAAACAATCTTTAGTATGAAACAAAGAGAAGAAACCAGCTGTGGAAACATCAGCATTTACTCGAAACAAACGAAAGCTACACTATTTCTGAGAAGCTTATAGAATCAACTATAATTATAATAAATACACTCAGGAAGAAAACTTAATGAGCTATTATAGGCAAAAATCTCTTTATTAAATAATCCTGTATATCATAGAAAGCAATTCAAGAAGCAATTACTATGATCAGCTGGTGCTCTCCTAGTTTGCTTTACAGATAAATGAAGGGACTGATCAATATGCAGAGTACTGATAGCCACTCTTGGCATACTTCAGTACATATTCGAGAAAGGCTTAACCACTTTTTTGTTCTCTTTAACTAAAACCCATGCCATGAGAAAAGAGCTCTTTAAAATTTAGTCATTTATTATTTGTAAGTCATAATGTGCAGAAAAAGAAGTATATTGTAATCAGTATGATACGGCACCAGAAGAGTGCGGTAAGGAAGGAGCTCTACTTGGAACTAAAGTTGCATTCACTACTATTATTCACAAAAAATAGTGGTCAGTGAAATACCTCCTAGTATTGAGTCAGTGCTGGAGAGAATACAGCCACATTGTGGCTACTTGGAGCAGTCTTTTTCAGCACTTGGGTCAAGTCCAAGAATGCCTGGCTGCTTTTCCAGACTCGTGACCACCACCTAGCCACGATGGAGCCGAGACTGCAACTTGTCTCTCAATATCTACTCCACTTTCATTCCCTTCTGGGTGGCAAGGTACCCAGCTTCTTATAGCTTGAGTTGGACAGTGATATATGTTGTGGGACCACTGGAAAAGCGCCTTCAAAAAGCAACATAATTCTGGCATATAACTTTTTTGGCGTTTTTCTTACCACTTTCAGATGGGAAGAACTCTGTTTTGTGAGCTACTCTAGCACTTTTAAAAAATTTTAAGAGTATGTTCATTATAGCTGGGGACAGTGAAACAAGGAAGGGCTTAGGACAGAACCAGCAATAGGAGAGAGCCTAGGCAGGGTTGCTTTGGCTCTCTAGAAATGTATGGGAAAGTGAGCCAAGGTAAGGCTGCTGTTAGCTCTCTGGAGAGTCAGAGAAAAGGGGACCTTGGAGACAGGTTCGGGGGTTTAGCCAGGGACTAGCTGCCACTGCCCGTTGCCCCCTGGTTGCAGGTCTCATGGGGTCCCTTAGATGCGTGCCTGTGGGGGGTGGGGAAGGCAAAGGGGCGGCTGTGCTCCTGGGAGGGAGAGCACGTGCCTGCTCTAGAAAATTAATGAATGTGAGAAGGGGGTCTTAGGAACCAGACTTGTAGCTGGTTGTTCAAAAGCACTGGTAACAACCTGGACTTGTATCTGGCATGGGGAGCAGGAAGTCTTACAGGACTGAGCCCTTAACTCATGGAATCTGGTGCCACCTCTGAGTTGAACTATAGGACAGCCAGCTCGCGCCTGGTAAATAATGTGGTGCTGTGTGGAAACCCCACCCCCTTCACACACTGAAAATTTTATCTCAGAACCATTCTAGGGAGAAAGTCACAGACACAAGCAGCAAGGCAAATTAGCAGTTGTCTACCTAATTTATTAGCACTGATTTGATGAAATTAGTGGGAAATATGCCTAAAGAAAGTCGATTCAACCCTCTTACACATAATACAAACGTTTCTCTCATTACATTCTTTACAGTGACACAAACCCCTCCAAAACTCTTCCTCAGACCTTCCCCCACGTAAAAAAAGTCATAAAAGTAAATAAAGCCATAAAAGTATTAGGGAGAAAAATAACAGTTTTTTTAAATCCTTTGGGGGTGGGAAAGGCTTTTTAAAGTATGAAATAAAAATTGATATACAAACTGTACAAATATTTTAAATACCACAAAGTAAAAAATAATTGGGGGGGAAAATATTTGTAAGACAATAAATGGCCAATTTCCCTAATGCCCCCCCCCAATTATTTTAAAATCACTAACAAAATTAAAGATTAAGAAGAAAAACAATTTTCAGTTAAATGTGTCAAACCCTACTAAAGTGGCCTTCAGAAAGGCTAGGGTACATGGCAAGACTAAAAATAAAATTTGGTTGTCAGTCTACACAAGAACTCAGACTCTGAGATTCCCTCCTCAATTCCACAGCCAGATTCATGCACAACTTAAACATTTTTGCTAGTATGTACATACACGTTCAAAACTGTGTTTTCAATTTGAAGTTAATTCTAAAAGGTTTTCAAGTCTTTATAATACATATTCAGCCAGAGTTTAGATAACAAGGAAATGCCTATGTATGGCCTCACATGGTCATCAAAATTCTGTGACAAATCTACTTTCATCCTTTCCAAAGTATCCCAACAGTCCAGAGGAAACATATGGGCTGGACAAAAAAACACTGTTTTGAAACACAAAACTCACTTTTTGGGTCAATCGCATCACATATTCCTTTGTTCTTAGAAAATAAAAGGGAATTGGGTTAGAAAATTTTCTCCTGGACTAAAAGTATATTTCAAGCTAAAGCTAAATTTATGAAATCTTGTCATTTGACTTTAAAGAGCAGTCACACCATTATAACAATGTATGTAAGTTGAGTCCTTGTTAGGGAGAAAAAACAAAAAAACTCCCAAATTATGACCACTACCTTTGTACTCTCCAACATATATATTTTTAAAGGAATAAGTCAAATACAGAATTCAGAACATGCAGCAATGACTTTTATTATTACGGTCTTAGAAATTATTTCCTCAATTTCTCCATACACAGGCAAAAATAAGTGTATTGTTCAGCACATTAGAACTTGCAAAACTGATCACTGCCTAGAGTAGGGAAAATTATCCCTAAATCATGCTTAACCAGGAGGCCAATTCATCTGCCGACCTCCGAGAACATGAAGATGAACATGATACACAGACTGTCCCCCATCTGAGCCTTCATTCACCACCATTCGATAACCCTTCTTCAGGCCCAGATCAGCAGCACATTTCTTGCCAACAATCATTAAATGTCCAAGAAGCTAGAAAAGAAAAAAGTTTCTTTAGCACAGGCAATTTACAACTTCTTGCCATTAAATAATAAACCACCAAGATGAAATATTAAATTTTAAAATTGACAGGTTAAACATATTCTTTTGGACAAATATTTGGAAACTCTTAAAATCCTAATACAACATAATTTACAATTAAAAACCCAGTAAGATTATTTATTCATTACTAATTTCAATCAAAAAATTAGAAAAATAAATCTATTGCTCAAAACAATTTTTAAATTAAATTGCAAGTGGTATTTAAGTGTTCTTGCTTTCTTGTTATGGGGCAGGATAGGTTTGGTTACACTTTGGTAACAAACCACCCCAAAATCTTGTGTTCACTACATGTTCATCACAGGTTGACCAGGCTCTATTTCTACATCTTTTTCACTTTGAAACCCAGGCAGATGGAGCAGTCGCTGTATGATCGTAATGGCAGAGGGAAGAGAGAACATGACAAACCAGGTGCTAGCTCTTAAAGTTTCCGCTCAAAAGACATGTATCATTTCTGCTTGCATTCACTGGCCAAACTGTCGTATCACCAGTCCTGCCATCAATGAGGCAGCAAGTATAATGCACCCCTAAACAGGGAGCCCAGCTGGGCGTGGCTCAGCAGTTGAGCATGATCCAGGAGATCACAGTTCAATTCCCAGTCAGGGCACATGCCTAGGTTGCAGGCTCGATCCCCAATGGGAGGCCAGAGGCAGTCAGTCAATGACTCTCATCATTGATGTTTCTCTCTCTCTCTCCCTTCCTCTCTCTGAAATCAGTAAAGATATATTTAAAAAAAAAAAAAAAAAAAAATTTTAATTGAGGCCTGTACCTCCTGGCAAAACCAAGTAATTATTTTTCTTTCCTTTAACAGTATTAATAGAAGAAGTGTCCATGAACCCTCTCCTATATGATATGCTATTTCTTTGTTGAGGAAAAATAAGTCTTATCAACTAATCCTTATGTGGAACCCTTTCTACGTAAGAATTTGTGATGATGTATGTTAACTAGAATTACTGTGGTGATCACTTCATTTTATATATATATATATATATATATATATAAAATCATTATATTGTATACCTAAAACTAATATAATGTCAATTATATCTCATTTTTTAAAAACCAAACTATTTATACATTGTCTTGAAGTCCTGATGACTGTGTTTTCCTAAATGCCCTTAGTAAAATGAAAATGTAACATCAATTTAAGATAGTCTCCCAATTTAAAAAGAAAATAAAAATTGTGCTAATAAATTTACTTACACTTTCGTCGTCATCTTCTGCTACAGAAATCTGGGATATATGCTTCTTAGGTATCACCAGAAAATGTGTTGGTGCTTGAGGGGAAATGTCATGGAAAGCAAGACACTAAGGAGGAGGGAAAAACAAAAAAAATCAAAGTTTACTCTATCATCTACTAAGCTAAACTTACTCTTTCACACTAACCCCATGGGAGACGCTGTAGTAAATCCTAGGAATTCAGTAGTGTACCCAATACATGTGTTTTCCTGGTCCTTTTCATGGAACTTACAGTCTAATGGGAAGAGTGACTTTAAACAAAAGTGTAATTAACCAAAGATCCTACATGTTACAAAGTGAAAGCAAAGGGTGAAATACATTATTAGAGAAAACCTGATTTAGATTGGGTGGTCAGGGTCAACCACTTTGAGGTAGGGACATTTAAACTGAGATCCATACGTAGACAAATCCTTGTCTTCCTACCTTTCCAGTTTGGCCTCCTACGACGACTCTTCCTGCTCAAGTAACACTGTCNATTTCTACTCATCCAGAATGAGTAGAAATTACGTAGACAAATCCTTGTCTTCCTACCTTTCCAGTTTGGCCTCCTACGACGACTCTTCCTGCTCAAGTAACACTGTCCATCTCTCTCTACCCTCAGGGCTTTTTCAAATGCAGTTTTCTCTATGCAATGATCCTCTCTCCCCTCAACCCCAACTTTTGTCTAACTTAAACTGCTATTCATTCCTCAGCTCCAGTATATATAGTTTCCAAAGGATATCTTCTCTGAGTCCCCTCCCCACCTTCTCTAGGTCAGGAGCCCTTGGTTGTGTAATTTCCGGGTTTTTTCCTTTACTGCAGTGATCAGTTTTGTGATAACATATTTGTAATTAGATAAATACCTATTTCTTCCCATTTTACTCAATGATTTTAGTAAGAATATTTTTGTATCTCTTGTTCCCTACTGAAGGTGGGAGCTACTAGAACCTATCCCGCTTACCTGTCTCAGGAGTAATTCTATTGGGTATGTCCTACAAAATGCTGTATCATTTAGATTGCTTCATGCTGTTAACACTGTTGAGACTACGGTGGTTCAAAAGTAGATCATTTATAAAAAGCAACTGAAACTATTTCAAAGTGTGCACTCTCCAGAACAAAAGAACTTCCCCTAACTAGTGACAAAGATATTTTTTAAAGTTCACCTTGAGGAATCTAAATATTAGCTAACATTTTGAATCTAAAAACACTCCTTGTGTTCATAAAATGAATGTTTCTCTTATAGTCCATATTTCTTAAAAGTTAATTTAACAGAGTTTACAGAATGTTTTCCATGTAAATCAGCCAACCTCCTCCCAAGCTTTATCTGAAATCCTAACCCATAAATACAAAGGCCCACTAAATATTTTACACAAGACGTCTGAAAGTCACATGAAGTCGGCCTTTCTAAAACTGAATTTCACCTATGGTGAAGTCAACAAAAACTGCATTTAGTCCCTTGGCATAAAATTGCTTCCTGCCAAATATAAAAGGAACCATTATTCCCGGGAGGGGCCAAAGGAAAGCAAACCTCCGAAGCAGGCCCACTGAGTTCAAAGTCCGCGGCGGGAGTGTGCGTGGGGGTGGGGGGGTGACCAACGGGCTCCGCGCGGCCGCATCCCTCCCCACCCCC